CTGCTACTAGGAAGAAAATTAACTTTATTCCAGCCGAAACCGGGACAAAGCCTAAGAGGCAGATAGAGGGAAACAAGCTCCTAATATTTGAAGGATATATTTGAAAGGAAGGGAAAATAAGGGTAGAGGATACTTCATCAAATGCAGATATATCTCTAGTTTAAAAAACTTCAGTTGTAGATTGAGTCAAATTCTCATGGCCTTAGTGGTGTGACATGTATTGGTTTTTACATGGAAAGAGCAAAAATCAAAGTCGAAACTTCCAAGCTTGTCCTAAAGAGTTTCTAACAAAGCATTGAAAATGTAAACCACAGTACATTGCTCTTGATATTCCATTACAACTGGTTAATTTTCCTTAATCTTGCCAAATCTGTCTGCCTGCTTGGCAGTTCAGGGTCTGCAGTTAGAACTTCTTGCTGTGATCAGTTAGGGAGTTCCTCTTGATCTCACTTTTTAATATTTGTTTTTATTCTGTCAGTGTTTCCAAAAGTGTTCCTTGGCACAGGCATAGATTTTGGGCTTCCCATTCTAGGCATGCCCGACTCAAGCCTAGCTGTATAAGGAAAGGATTTTCAACTCATTCTGGAAACACCGAAGTATCTTTTCGCTCAGATACTATAGGTACTTGTATGGTGGATTGAATATGGAAACTCTTCCATCTTGATGAACTTGGAACTTTCATGTGACTTCATGCTCTGTTTTTCTTCTGTGTTGTCAACAGAATATTCAGTAAAAACTGGGCTTCTGGTATCAGTGGTAGGAAGGCCTAATTTGTCTGGAATTCCTCTGTCCAGTTTTTACTCAAGCGATTTCAAGACTTGAAAAAGCTCCTCTCTTCTCCATGATCACTTAAACCATACGTGAACAAGTAAATTTGTCTCGTGCAAAATCTTTTTGTGATGGAAGGAGAAATCTTAAAAAAGAACAATACCACACAGATACCAAGATCATCCCCAGGTTTTCTTCCTGTTAATTAACTTTAATTATCATGAAATATTTTGTTTTTCTATCCTGTGCTGTTTGCATGTGGCTGTTCCTTAGTTTATACATTCTGGAGCATCAAGTGTCCACAGTGGAGAGGGAGGAGACAAACTCAGCTAATAACCTTCCTGTCACTTATACCATCTGAAATGTTAAGTGGTGTTCACACAAGGGCGTCATCTAATTCACCCTTGATTCTAGTTAGATGTTGGGAAGAGCTCAGTTTAACAGAACTTCGTTCCACTAAAGATGGGAACATCTTATTATTAGCTCGTAATCAAAACTCATTTTACAAATATTTGAAGTAAAGTACAGATTTGAGCAAGAAGTACCTTCTGTTTGGTCTTAAATTTGATTAATCTGTTTATACATAATGTTTCTTCTCTGTTATGGGTATATGACTGGAGAGTGTGTGAATCTCCAAGTTGTGAATAGTTCAGTCTGGTGGCATCCATTAGGAAGCCAAAGGGCAAGTTTTAAAACGAGTAAGAAACATCTGTGGTTGAAAGATGACTAATAATCCTGTTACACTGTATCACAAAACACTGGATACTCACTTCAGAGAAAGTAAAATTACAGGAAAGCAAGTACATTTTATGTTGGCCTTAAACTCCAGCCTGAACGTTTTGATTCATTAATGATGAGTCTTACAGTTTTACCATTGAGTGTTTCTGTTTTATTGCAGCCCATACTCTTTGTGTATTATAACAATGTATTTTGGAATCGTTTATTCTGATCGTGTCTTACCAGAAGATAATTTCTCCTTTAGTTGGTCAGGAGGGCAGGATTAATTGTATTTTTAAAACTGAGGTCTTTAATTAAATTATTAAAAGCCTTGTAAGGCTTAATTGTCGAGTTCTTATTTCAGGCCCATTTCAGGATTCTGTGTGTCTCCTTAGCAGTATTTGCTTTTATGATTAAATCCTAAATGTAAGTCCTTGCTGCTCTTCAGAGATAGCTAGTCTTGGAAAGTATGTCAGAATTTTCACCGGAATACTGCTGGATCAACATCAGTTTCATAAAATTCATTAGTAATGTCAAAATTGGTCATTATAAGCATACAACTTTCCATTTTTATTGTTCATTGATTTTTTGCCTTTTCATTCAATTCGACTTTTAGCAGTCTTTTCATTCTCTAGGTTCTGAATGTATCTGATAGGATTTAAATTTGCTAGTGTAGTGTAACAATTTTTGGACTGAAAAGTATGCAGAAATCTACCAAAATCTGGATTTCTAGAATCTATATTTTCTGAGGTCTGTATCAGGTAGTGTTAAAATTTGTGTTTCAGCTTGAAGAGTTAATGCTTTTGCAAGTTGAGATTAAAATAAAAATAAATTACAAAAATAGTTAAATCAAAAGATGCAAAGTGTTAATTCAGGATCTCAGTTTTGCTTCAAGTCTTGAATAAAAACGTCATACACTAATAACTCTTGGCAGCAATACTCATCACCATAGTTGGAGAGGAGTACTTTGCTGTAGTTGCAGAGTTCTACCAGATTTTTTTTTTTGCAAAATCTCCTTTCCCATTGGGTTTTTTAATGGCTTTTATTTGCTTTATGTCCATCAAGTTGTTGTCAAACAATGTTGATAGTGTCCCTCTTTGTGCATCTTCAGGAATATCATTGCTGATTCAGTGAATGCAGGTGTCAGATGTCTTGTGGGAAGACTCCTTTTTTGTGTGTTGGTTCTTAGCCAGTAAGAAGAGGCAGTAGAACAGACCAAAGGTAGTCTAATTGCATAGCAAGAAGTAATATTTGAAAAGCCATCGCAAACCTGATCTTGTTCTCATAAGGAACTTCTGAAAATTTTTATTTCAAGTGATATTGATAACTCTTAACTCTCATTCTGATTCTTACTTTGCAGATTGTCTGTGTTGATTAGTAATATCTCCCCTATGCCAATTCTTTCTGTCCTTAAAAGACATTTAGTTTTCATTTTTGGTGTGGCACAGAAGTCTTCTGTATTTTGTTTTCCAGTTTGAAGCTGCGTGGGTGCTGACAAATATTGCCTCGGGAAATTCCCTTCAGACTCGAATAGTGATCCAAGCAGGAGCTGTCCCCATCTTCATAGAGCTGCTTAGTTCAGAGTTTGAAGATGTGCAGGAACAGGTAAAGATTAAGAATGGTGTTGGGTTTTTTGTGTGTATGTTTGGTGGTTTGTGGGGTTGGGTTTTTTTTTGTTTGTTTTGTTTGTCTGGGTTAGTTTGGGTTCTCCCCCTGCCCCGCTTCACCAGAAAGGAACAAGGCTATCCTGTAAGAAAGCCTTTAGAGGAAATGTAGTGTTTGGCAGTTCTGCACAACAGCTCCTTTCTACCTAGTATGTGTTAAGATATCTAAGCAAGTATTGTGTTTTTCTGGAAATGATATATTTAACCACAGCCAATGGGGTAATGCTTTTTGATCTCTAATGGGTTAATATTTTTATCTGTGTATTGAGGAATTCAAGAAGCCCTGTTTAAAATGTTGCTTTAGAGATGGAAAGTTCATGCTTGTTTCTCCTGAAGATAAAGCATGAGTGGAAATTATGGTTTGTTCTCTACGTTCCTTACAGAGTAGATGAATAGTCTTCAAGGCCCAAAGGGATCAGTGTAAAGCACAGACCAAACATTTGACTCGGTAATTTCTGCATGAGGTCCGTAACTTGTGTTTGAACAAGGATGTATTTTTTAGACATATAATCTTGCTTTGAAGACTTAGGGTGATGAAATATTAATCATGTTAACAGACAGAGTTTCAGTTAATCTTAATCCTAACTTGAAAGTATGTACCTTTACTGTACAAATTTGACTAGCTTTGGGTCCAGGTATTTGCTTTTGTTTCATTGTTTACTCAATCGGTAAGCTCTCTGTTTTTTCCTATAGCTACTTACAGACCACAGCTTAAGCTTTTCTTGAGCAAATGAAATTAAGCTCTGAATTCTCATTATGAGGGTATTTCTGTGGTGGTTGGCTTGTTTTTTGGTGACCCTTTTCTGAACATTTCTTTGTTTCAATATCTTTTTGTTGTGGTGAAATTACAAGCACTGGATATTCCAGTAGCACTCTTCCAGCAATGCTGTTTGCAGAGATAGTGCTTCATTTTAATTTCTACTTGATACTTTGGTGCATAAATATCCAAGATGTCTTTGCGGACTCTTTGCCACAGAAGCTGGCTGTGAGCTCAGGTTAAGCTGATTATCCAATATGATCCATTGTTCTTTTCAGAATCACTGACTACCAGGGTTCAGTTCTCCATCCTGTAAGTGTGACCTCTATTCTCTGTTCCTAGATGTCTGACCTTGCATTTGGCTGTATTGAGATGCATGATTGGAGGAGTCCTGACTCATAAGCATTGGATCGTGTTGTGTAACTTGCTTTTCTCTCTTATAGCTGGCTCAGAATGTACCACCTGTACTTAAAGGTGCCTAACATTTTCCACAAGACAGTTTTTTGTTGGTTTTGGTTCCCCCCTCCCCCCACCAGTTGCTTATAGCTTTCTAGTTTTTCCACTGTGCAACTTTCCATTTTCAATGGTCTGTCTTGGGCTGAATTATTTTGGAAAAGGTTTTTTAAGAGAAATTGAATTCAGGTGCTTGAGAGAATTATATTAAAGGAAATAAGTATTTTTTTTGTCCATCTTTTAGCTTTCTTTGAGGAAATAAGTCTTTGTTGTTGTAGAAATTAGAAATTAGAAATGTGATAGGGAGCTTGCCAAAATGGCAGATAAATGCTATGTTCCGCCCATGTAAAAATCCATCCAGACTTAGCTATATGATACTTTTTAGATTTTGTTTTTTTGGTGTTGAAATTGGTGGCATTGCTTTCCAAATTCAACCATTACTTAACACAGTGCTGTTCCTGCAGTATGATTGGTGCTTTGAGTGTGTTAAGGGCCACTCCATTTTTTTGTTCCTAATGATCTTCTGTGCAAGAGCTAACTTGTTTTTTTTATTAGGTTGTTGTTATCATCCCTGCTGATGTTCAGAGAGCAGGTGGGAAGAGCGAACCTGTTTAGAATGAGTTGTGCAGCCTTCAGCCTTAAGATGTGTGAATTAACAGAAGAGCTTAGGGGCCACAGTTAAGTAGTTTATCTGTCTCCTTCCCCTTCTGCCTCCTAATAAACTGCTGACATGTTAAAGTTCAGATTGCAGGCAGGCAGAGTGGGTTACAATTACCAGAAAATATCTTTCTATGTAATTCAGGTGCTGAATCCATGATCTCTCTGTTACTAGTAAGCCTTTAAATACCACTTACAAATTGCTCTGTAGTAAGCTGTTTTAAAGAAGGAAGATGTGTCACTGCGAAGTGTTACCTACACCTTTTCACACTGGGTTTCTGTGCTGCAGGTCTACAGGTTGCAGCCCTGTTCACAGCTGACTTTGGGTTTAAGGCAGGCCAACATGAAATAAATTGTTTTTTCTGACAGCTTTTAAAAAACCCGAACACCTCACCATAATATCTACGAAAACAAAAATTAAAAGCATTAAGCACCTAAATGTTAGCTATTGAACTTCTGCAGTACAGGGTAGCATTAGTACACTATTGCATAGTATTTTTCCAGATGACTCACATCTCATTTAGTGTATGTACAGATTGTTGCCCTGGTAACACATCAGCGGGTAGTAAAGGAGGCTTTTATTTGTCACACTGTGGCCCTGTTTGTTGAAGTTGGAACGCATTGTAGTAAATGACGGAGAGAAAAGGGAAGAGATTCTTAGAATTAAGGCAGTTGCAGCTTTCTGAGATAAATGTATCTACTGCTTAGTGTCTGATGCCGGACAGTTTGCTTGTATCAGTTTTCAGTAAATAGATACTAGCTCTGTGTTTTTTGAATGTTCGATGCAAAATACTTGCATTTTGTTTTGTAGTTGAGGACAACTCAGCACTTTTGCAAGTGACTTTTGTAGTTAGGTCTGTGTTTTGAGCAGATCTGGGCTTTTCATGCTGGATTTCTGAAACTGGAAGATACTTGGCCATTATGTTCTCCTCTGTAAAATGATGATTCTTATCTTCTCTCACAGTAGTACTGTGAAGATTATTATTTGCAAGCAACCCTTGCTACCTTTGCAACAAATTACAAAAATACAGGAAAAATACAGAAAATATATAACTATATGTTTAGGGCAGATAGGCCAAAAGCTAGCCCTACAACCATATAGTAAAGGATGAAGAGAAAAAGAAATATTGAAGTCCGTGTTTAGTAAGCCATTCATTGTGTTAAGTGGGATAGTAATTCTATAGAAGGACATGCAAGTGGTAGTATAATCTGCAATATGTATCATAGCATGAACTAAAACCAATTCATATTTAACATTATTTTAATTTGACTCACTGGCTAATCTTTATCCACTGTTTTTGTCTTACAGTAAGTCTTACAGACTTACACCATTGAATTTATCTTTTATTTCAAACTTCCCTTAGCAGTGGCTCAGGAACAGCTACCAGTTTACCTTATCGGATCATGATTTTTCCAGGAGTTACTTTTCATACTTAGAAGCCAATTTTAATCTAATGTGTTGCACTGTTTCTTTTGCATATGCTAGTTTCTGAGTCTGATGTGCTTCTAAAACAGCTGTTTTATAGAAGTCATTGTGAGGGAATCTTTATAACTATGTTTATTAAACAACATGTATTTTAATGAAATTAATCTTGTGTTTTTACAAGATCTGTTTTGCATTCAGCTATGCAGGCTGACATGTAATTACCCTACCATCCTTTAACTCTTTCATAGTTTGCATTGTATATCAGTCTTTCACAGATACCCCCTGTGATCAGTGGTCAAATCATTTGGCGTCCATTTTTCCCACCAAAGAAACCGAGTTTATTACAGAAGCTACATCTCCATTATGAAAAACTCTTTGGCTACATCTCCCTCCCCTCCACCCTAATTCTGTTTTTGGTGTACTGATTTTTAGATTTAGTCAGTGGCATATGTCCTAGCCTTCTTCCAGTTATTACAATTTTTTCTTCCAAAAGATATCTAGAAATTTAGATATGTCAGCCTGAAATTATTTATAGAAAAGGGCTCCATCAAAGCCCTTTAGACATGCTTAAGGTTGATCTAGCTTCAGCAGTGTCTTAGCTGCAGTTCTCTTCTAAGTGCCCTTGCTGAGGTATTTAAAACCTAGATGTCAGCTTGGGTTTTCCTTCAAAAACCATGCAAGGCATTACACTCCCTGAGATTATTGAGATCATCTCACAGTGACAGATATGTGTCATTTTGCTCCACTGGATAGCTGGTGGCAGGAGCATCCCCAGCTGCCCTGTTCTCCTTTGGGAACATTTATGTTTTCAGCTAAAGCAACCCATGTGTTTTTCCCTCAGTGTTTTTCCATTTCTAGTTGTATTGCTATTCTTTTTGGTAACCATTGTTTGTTTGGCAGAGGTGACCTCTGAGTCTGGTGTCCAAGTTCTGTTTGGCTTTTACATCAGCAGTCCTACTAACTAGGTCTTAGTAATCAAAATGAGGGAAAAATTTGAGGCATGAGTATGAGCTACTTTCTCTGTTTGGGTGCATGAGATGTGAGAAATAAGGAACTATGACCACCCCAGCCACTGAAAGAAAGTATTTTCTGTGTTGGGACATAGTAGAAGTCTGGTCCTAGGAATTTGGCCTTCTGGTATCCTTCCTTGTGTCCACTTATCCAATGACACTTGTATGCAAGCTAATCTTCACTGTCTTCATCCCAGCATTAGATCCATTTCCCAATCAGCGGCCAAAAGTAGAGTAAGTGTTGATTCTCACTTCATAATATTTCTTCTCCACCAAGAGGCACAGACTCCACACTGTTGGCAGTTGGTTTAGCACTTGGTTTAAATATCCAAAGGCCTAGTGAAATAATGGCTGAGAGCCTTCAGAATCCAAGGGAAAGTGGAGGGTTGTCAGAAAGCACATGGATTATTTGCAGAAGGCACCATATGGCTCAACAGTACTCTACAAAACTTGCACTTTACTGTTACTAACTACTGGAGTTGTCCAGCACTGCAGGAAAAAACACTGGAGTTTAATAGTAAGTAAAATAAACTGGAGACTTGCAACAATCCCTACTCCACTATTAGCAATAAATGGAAATTTATACAGGTGTATAAAAATAGATGCTGTCAATTGACAAGGCAGCATTTGCATTTTCAGTTTACACACAACTTTGCTACCTAAGATGTTGGTTAAAAAGTCAGACTACAAATCTTAAAATTACAGGTTCTTTTAATCTTCAGGTCTGGATGTAGATATTGGAAAGTACTGAAATGGAATTTTTTTTTTAAGAGTCAAATATTTTTTGGATTTAATAAACTGTGAAATTTAATGGAATTAAATATCCTTTTACCTCTGCAACTATCCAAACAAGAAGATAAAAATTGGGATGTGTAGAATGAAGCCAAAATGTTATGGCAAGCAAGCCATTTGCCTCTTGAGTGCACAAAAGAAGCAATGGAAATCATTGAACATTATTCAGACAAACAAACCCTGAAGACACTTGTCGTTGTTCATGTCATCTGTGGGAACCATGGTAGAGCTTTGTATTTATAGCAGTGTCTGATGAGAAGAGTTTAAATGAGCTTGACTTATGTTCCTTACTTATCTGAAGAGCTGAAGTAATTCCTTAAGGAAAGACCTCTTCCTTGTTGAATGAAACCTTGCATATTTTTCTAAATACATTTCAATTTCTTTGCATCTCGTGTACTATCAGTCATTAGCATTACAAGGATTTCTTTCAACATCCTCTGTTACCAGGTCCTGTGATATCAGACTACTCAGCCAGACTTCTCTTGCCATAAAAAAATCAAGAGTGGGAAAGCAGTGGAGATACTATTTGACTTCTCTGGTCAAACTTTTTGATGTGAGATTTGCTGTTGCAAGACCAGTCTGTCATTCAGGGGGAGAATGGGTTCTTGGATTAAATGATTATCGCTGTTGTCAACCCTAAAAATAGATACTGTTATAATGGCAGAAACAAAGTCCACAGACAAGTGAAATACAGCTTCCAGGGGTGTTTGAACGCATGTAAGGGTGTCCAGGCAAGGAGATTGTATCTTCATACAAAGTTACCCACAAGTTCAATAAAAGGAAATGATTGCAAATTCTAACTTTCTTCACCCATAAATGTTTTTAGAAGATCTACAAGTTTATTTAGAACCAGCTGAAATCTTTGATTCATTCCTCGGGCTTCTCATTGCTGCAGAAATACAGGCATTGCAGTGAGCAATGAGCATGGCTTCTTACAGCTCTAATACAAATGAAATTTTGCAGGAGGTGGCATGTGTTCTGTCTCTTAAGCTAAATTTTTCCGGTAGCTGCTTTCTCTGTCTTGAGTCCATGAGGCTGCCAGACTCAGGGTTATACTTTTATTTCAGACAAACTGTTGTCATAACAGTTGTAAAATAACAAGAACTGGAATGAAAAGTAAGTTTTCATGATGAAGATCAGTTTTGGGGGGGGACACTGCGTAGTAATGGCTGTGCTGTTTCACAGCAAAGGTCAGTATAGCTTGGTGCCCTGTCTCTGACTGTGGTTGCCAGCAGAAGACTGGAAAACAGTAGGAGAAGAAACCAAATCCTTTCCCAGAATAGTGTCCTAGTCTCTTAACAACTTGCAGTTTAGGGACTTCTGATCAATTTGAGCTATGGTGTTACTGGTAATACTGGTACAGAGGAGGAGTCTTTTTATTTTGTATCTAGCAAGCTGATATCTGCATCTACATTTTGTATATACATCTGGGTTTAGCTGTATTAATTTTGTAAGATTTGTTAGTGGTTTTGGGCCTCTAGAGTGGTTGGAGTCTGTTTTTTTTAAAATAGTGTCTTTTTGCCACCATTTAAAAACATCTTATAGTAGAAATCTTATGCAACAAATCAGTTGACATCATATCGATAATGAATAAATAAGTTTATTTCAGATTATCTGAAAATTTCCTTTAGGTAACAAATTTGGCCTGTTCTGTCAATTTTTTTTTTAGAGTAATTTCAAGTAGAGATATGGAGAGAAAAACACTTTGTGTGGGGAACTTAGGTCTGTTCAGTTGGAGAAATAGTTATGCACTGTAACACCTTTTACTGCAAATAAATACATGGTCTTCAACTGAAGAGAAATTTGGGGAGGATATTTAGCTGCTGTCCATGATAAACAGGATTGCTTTTGTCCTCTATGTGCAATATTGGAAGTATTTCCAGTGGTTGTGTAGACATTGTGTGGGTCTCACCAAATTAGCAGATACATGTATCTATTTGATATGACACTTAGCCCTCTGTTAACTTGAAATAAATAGCAAATATGAGTTCCATACACTTTCTTGTGTGACAAAATATTGTCTAAATAGCATGGAATTCATAAAATGGCTTTATACTTCATATACACTACTTCTAATTTTTTTCGGTTATAACTCTCATACTAGTGGACAGTGATATCAAAACACACTTGACCCAAACATATAAATCAAAAACAATTAAATCTTTTATTCTCATCATATTACCGAAGATGGATTTCGTGCTTCTTTCAGTATCTTCTGGTATTTTAAATCTTCTCAAAATGAAGGGTTACAGTAGTACTGATGTCCAAGGGAGAAAATACCTGTCCTTGCATTTTGCCATGCATATGTCTTAATAGGCAACGCTGGTTCTGTCTTGTATAGTTTTCTCAAAGAGTATATGCCAATGCCCATCTGAACTCTTTGATTCTGAATATTGGTTTATCTTGCATACAGATTCTCATTTTCATCTGAGCTGGTGTCAGCATTCTTAATATGACTGTGTAAACAATGCATGCTTTTATGACTTCTTAGGAAATACTAATATGGGCTGTTCCACACATACATTTTTGGGTAGATACAGACTTGCCTGACCTGTGCTATGAACATCTGGACTTGAACTAGCTCTGAACCAGGAGGAGTGTAGAATTAGTATATTACTAAGCCTGAGGAGATAAGCTCATCTCTTATATTGTGGACAGAGCAAGGTTATGTCTGCCTGCAAAGTCTTTGGAGACATACGTGTTGGCTGTTTTGGTATTCCTCTTAGATCTGTGTAAATATTCCTGAATCATATAATGAGCTTGGGTGTATATATGTAATACTCAATCAGAATGCACTCCCCTTCTGTACATTGTCCAGGATCTAACAGTGAGAACAGAGTATCTCCCACTCTAATACGTACACTAAACTGGTTGAAGTGTGAGAATAAAAGCAATTACTATTCTGTTTTTCATTGCAGGCAGTATGGGCTCTTGGCAACATTGCTGGAGACAGCACTATGTGCAGAGACTATGTATTGGACTGTAATATCCTGCCCCCTTTATTGCAGTAAGTCTGTTTTAATATGTTTTCCAGAATTTTGCTTGAGTGTCTGATAAGACTAAAGTTTGGTTTTTGCTTTGAAGAATAATAATGATTTTTTTTTTTATTGTGGACTAGTCAGACTTTTTAATGAGGGCTCCTGAACTACTTTTGTAATGGAGCTAAAATGGAAACATGTTTTAGGAGCAGCTAAGCTGGAACTATTTTATTCTACAGAGTGGGTGGATACCTGGGCTTATTATAGAGTCATAGAATAATTTAAGTTGAAAGGCACCTCTGGAGGTCATCTAGTCAAAGCCTTTCTTCATAGCAGGTGAGATCAGATTAGATTGCTCAACTGCTTAACCAGTCAAATTTGGAACATCAAAGGCAGATTCTGTAACCAGCTGGGGCAACCTGTTGCAGTATTTGACCATGGCATGGTGAAAAGCAATGTTCTGATACCTAAACAGAATTTTCTATGTTTTACCTTGTGACAGTTTCCTCTTGTCCTGTCACTATGCACCTTTGAGAAGGATTTGGCTTCCTCTTTTCTGTAACGACCTGTTAAACCATTGTAGGCAGCAGTTACATCTCCCCTTACACAGTCTCCTTCTAAGGCTGAACAAATCCAGGTCTCTAGCCCTCCCATTGTGTGTCATTTCTCTAGTCTGCTAATCATCTTGATGGTCCTCTGCTGAAGGACCATGTTATTGATGAAACAGTGACACCATCTTGTGTTGTCATGTCCAAATTAGGACTACTCGGTCTCTGTCCTCTGCAAACTCTGTTTGCAGCACTGGAGAACTCCACTGCTCTCATAAACACATTGGTACAGTGTAGGATGGCTATGAGAAAAAGAAACTGAGTTATTACAGTTGTAGAAAAACTAGGTCTTGCCTTACTGCATTTCTCTTAGGCCAAAGAGTACTACTGCTAGTCATTTCTAAGTTGTCAGGAGGGTGCCTTGTTTGGAGGCTTCACACTGTGTTTGACTTAACCAACTCCACAGTCATCTTTGTCAGTGCTAGGAGTGATCTCATGTAAGGGGACTCATGGTGTAACAGTGGCTGATGCAGCTTTCGTCAGTGTGATAGTCCTAATGTGAGAAGGCAGTTTTGGTATGCAGAGCTCATGAAGGTGTCAGTATTGCAGTTCATCACATCGTTGGGCTTCCTGTGTCTTACGGAGCAGAAGTTGAACCCTGCAGCTGGTGTGGATGTCACCCCTTAGCAACTGCAGGAAGAGACTGGTTTGGGGTGGCCTGTAGAATTGTGTTCTAACAAGAACTCAGTGAGCAAGGCTCTTATATGCCGGGACTGGAGGCAGTATGCGCAGAAAGTCTGTAAACAGTGCTTTCTGTGAGATACATGACTGTCTTGAATGTTTGGGAAACCCTAAACCTGATTATACACGTTTTCTGAGGAGAAGTTCTGTTCTCCTTCACTAGTTAACATACAAAAGTGTAAAAGTGGGGCTGATAGTCTGAGACTGACATAAAAATGCAGTTCAGCGAAGAGAGTACTCTCCAAAACCACCTGTACATCCTTCTACTTAAAGTAATTTTGTCACAGTTCCTGTGCCTTTTGAGTCTTAATCTGCCACATCAGTATCTAAGCAATTAAATGAACACACTTTTAGTGTAATGGTTATTGTTCTTGTCAGGATACTAGGATTCATGTGTCTAGCATGTGTGTTAGTATCCAGCCATCAAGCATGATTTTCCTCAGGATGTATTTTTATAGAAAAAAAATCTAGCATATTTTGTCCTGGTGTATGTTAAAATGTAGGCCTGAGTTTATTTTAATGATTCATGCAGTTGACCCTAGAGGGTTGCCTGGCCCTGATTTTTAAAAACAAAGGTTGCAGTTTTTTATTGGTTTGTTTTAGATTGCTTTCAAAACAGAACCGTCTCACTATGACCCGAAATGCTGTATGGGCTCTATCCAACCTCTGCAGAGGGAAAAATCCTCCTCCGGATTTTGCCAAGGTAAGAGGTGTTTGAAAGGAAATGTGTTGTAAGATGGTGGTAGCCAAATAAGGAATAAGGGAGGTGAAACTTAAACTAAATAGCAGAAATATTTCAGAATTTCTCTGAAACAATGTATGGGCTTCTTACAGGTAAAGTTTTTGAATGCATTTAGTTCTTTGGGCAGGCATTCACAACCACTGTTTTAATATAGCTGCCTCCTAGCTTTTTGTTACTGTTCCTGTACTGAAGATGACCATCCCACAGCAGAACAAAACTCTGTACATCTTGGCTGCTGTAGCGCAAAGTATGGCACATCTTAGCGGACAAGTATGAGTTTAAGTTGCCAGACATTGTGCTGTAGAGGTTGAAGAATTCTCATAGTGCTTTTCTGCTGACATATTCCTCTGTACTAGTGTAGCTACAGCCCTGCACAGAAGTGCTACCTGGGTCTGAAATTTTCCGAGCGTTGAACTTTGAGATGCCAGTGCCTAGTCCTATAATGTCACATACAAAATTTAACTGACATGTTAATAGACCTTCTGGCCCTTTTAATTGTACAATGTATGTATCTCCTCTTAATGTCTTACAGGTTTCACCTTGTCTTAGTGTGCTTTCCTGGCTGCTCTTTGTCAATGATACAGATGTATTAGCTGATGCCTGCTGGGCTTTGTCCTATTTGTCTGATGGCCCCAATGATAAAATCCAGGCTGTGATTGATGCAGGAGTCTGCAGAAGACTTGTGGAATTGCTGATGTAAGAAATTTGTTCTGAGCAAATGTACTGTCTACTCTTTTCCCTAAAATCAAGGTTCCAGCAATAGGAAGTTTAATTAGATATGTCTTGAAATGTAGTAATTTCCAAAAAGCAAGATTTCAGTTTTATTTTACCTGTCTGTGTTCAGTCTTCTCTGTTTGTTATGAGTAACAGAAACAATGGAACTTTTCTTGTACTAGTTTTGCTATTTATTAAGAGATTTTTTTCCCTGTACCTGACAGCAGCATTTTTGTAAAATCCCTAATATATACTGGAATTTTCTCTGTGCCATTCAAGTTCATGTTATAATTACCTACCAGTGAAATTGCTGAAGGATATCAAAGATAGAAATGTAAGAAATAGTAAAATTTACTAGAATTGGCAGTACTAGAGACTTGAAATGTAAATAATTTCCTAAACCCTTACTGCAGAAGAGTATATGTACAATGTTGGTCAGTAAAGTGTAGCTGTGGGAGTTGGGGAGACTGGCCTTGTTCAGAGCCATTTCTTCAGATCTAAGGGAAAGACATGGAGCATTCAGTTACCTAAGAACAAGAAATAATGGTTTTCAGTGATGTATATAAAAAAGACTATTAAGGCTTTTAAGATTAAAGCAAATCTGTTGCTTGATTAAAGAATAGGATGTATTACCTAAGGTACCTTTTTATAAAAAAGTGTTTTCATTGAGAAAAAAATTCCTTACTTCACCCTTTCTATTCCAGTCCTGATTTAACAGTGATGATGGGGGGATGCATATGACGACAGAAGATGATCAAACAGCTGTATGGGTTAAACAGACAGCTTCTGTCCGTGTTCCTCTGTCTCATTCTCTGCCTTTGTGTGCTACATTAAGTGTATTTCATAGTTAAAGCTGATTACTTTTTCCCCTCCCAAGAATGCCTATACTCTGAAGTACTTGTGTCCTTTTAATCTCATGCTTTATTTTCATGCTGCTGAATGATATCTAAAGGTACAAGTATTTAGGAAACCTAGACAGACTTACCATTAGTTTAAAATCAAAGAGTGCTTTGATTCAGATAGTGAGAGTTAAGTCAGGTTTAGCAGGGAAGTTTTTCCCTGGTTGATGGATGTTCCTTCCTAGAGGATGTAAAGATGCAGATGCTTTAAGATGGTTAACACTTATATCTTTCCTCGGTAATTTTAGGCACAACGACTACAAAGTTGTATCTCCTGCCTTACGAGCTGTTGGGAACATCGTCACAGGAGATGATATCCAGACCCAGGTATGGATTCACTTTCTCTGTGTTGTACTGCAGTTCATCTTTCTGTTAGTTGTGGTAACCTATTCACAAACACCACCTCTTGTTCCTTTCAAAGTATGAAAATGAAGGATTGATGATACTAGACACTAGTTGCCACCACCATGTGGTGGTTTTCATAGTTTTTCTGTTCAGTCCTGAACTGCTGGTGATTCTTTTATAGCTATGTTTGGGATTTGTATATAGCTGTGTAATACCCTTTGAGGTTTTTTTTTTTTCCTGGTTTGTTTAAAGCAAGTCTGCCTCTTAGGCTGAATTTTATGCTGAATGATGTGCCATGGTAGGGCCATCGAAAGCCTGTTACATTTGATGCTAATGACAGTCTATGATGAATATACCAAAACCAAGTGTCTGGTCAAATTTTGGATGGTATGTAGCTGTGTCTGGGCACAGTTTGGAGAAGCATCGGTAGGAGGCAGTGGCTCCCACCACTGTGTTGGAATTAAACTGAGAGCCAGAAAACCTGATGCTTCAGAGGCACTAGGTTGTCATCCTGCTGCTTGGTAGGTTTTGCAAGAGACAGCAGCTCCCACCAGTTTTTAAAATCTGTGGGAGTAGAGAGTCCGTGCCTTGCATATATGTGTTACCTGTGATCCAATGGCTGTTGGCAGTCTCTTTTTACAGGTAGAGCAGAAGCTCCAGTTACAGGCTTCTGCTGTTGTACCTTGTGTTAAAGTTTTTTCCCACTTCTTTGAGCATTCTGACACCCTTTTGTGAGGCTCAATTGATAATATGAGGAAGAAAGTACGGAGTAGGTGTCGTGGTTTAGCCCCAGCCAGCAACTAAGCACCACGCAGCCGCTCGCTCACTCCCCCTACTCCGATGGGATGGGGGAGAGAATTGGAGGAGTAAGAGTGAGAAACACTCCTGGGTTGAGATAAGAACAGTTTAATAATTGAAATAAAGTAAAATAGTAATGATAATAACAACGGTATAATAATGATAATAATAATAATATACAAAGCAAGTGATGCACAATGCAATTGCTCACCACCCGCCGACTGATACCCAGACAGTTCCCGAGCAGTGATCACTGCCCTCCGGCCAACCCCCCAGTTTATATACGGAGCATGACGTCATATGGTATGGAATAGCCCTTTGGTCAGTTTGGATCAACTATTCTGGCTGTGCCCCCTCCCAGTTTCTTGTGCACCTGGCAGAGCATAGGAAGCTGAAAAGTCCTTGACTAGCATAAGCAGTACTTAGCAACAACTAAAACCTCAGCGTGTTATCAACATTCTTCTCCTGCTAAATCCAAAACATAGCACTAAGCCTGCTACTAGGAAGAAAATTGACTCTATCCCAGCCAAAACCAGGACACATGCTCAAAGAAGCTTGCTGTGGTGGGCTGTTGACTCTACTAAAACTGATGGCACAAATGGGGTCAAGAAGAAGTGGTAGTAGCTGTGAATGGGAAGGTTTGTGCAGTAGAGGCAGTGAAATGGACATCCAGGAGGCAGTGGTAGCAGTTACAGATGTGAGATGACATGAAGAGTGTGAAGAAAGATGCTTTCAGTGAGGTGTAGGTGCATAAAGTTATGATTCCCCATGCAAAGTGTTAAATTACTCCTTCCATGTAAATTATGCCAGTTAAAATCCAAGCTCCTAATCTTGAGGCTTCTTTCAGTGCTTATTTTTTGGTTTGTATAAATATATCCTTTGGAATTATGTAGTTCTGTGGCAATGAGATCAGAGATAAAGATGAGTTAGCAGCAGTGAATATCTTATCACTAGTGCTGGAGGAGTTTAACATGTTTTTTTTGATTGTTACAATACTTTAGCTGAATTGCATAGGCATTCTTGTATTTTTTTCAATGGTATTTGTTTTGCAGATTGGTCATAAAAGTGATTGAGGTGCATTTTATGATTTCATAATTTCATTAAAAATAAAACCACAAGAGAACACTAAATCACATGCAGGTTATTAAATGCTGCATTAGATTTTAATTCAAGAAAACATTCAAACTTTTTTGTTGCGTACGATTTTTGAAGAGGAGCATACCATAAGCTTTCCTAAAATTCTAGAGAACTGTTTAAGTAGTATAGCATGATAGGCTTGCCTGTAGCTTATGCTATAGAGGGGTAGAGAATGCATATAAAAAAATCTTTAATCAGAAGGAAGAGTCTAGCTTTGACAGTTGATACATTTCTGAATATGAGCAACATACAAGACAGTTGCCTGAAAACTTCTCTGTACAACCTCAGAGCACAAACCTGCTTTTACTTTAATGTCATTTCTAGCTATTAACAATTGCCAGTGCTTGGAGATGGCTAAAAACATAGATACTGTGCGTGAAGGAAAAAATAAATCTTTCTTTCCCAGCAGATACATGATACAATCCTGAACCATAATGTTTTGCTTTTTTAATCTTAATTTGGAGTAGAAAGGTTGAGGGGGTGGGGTGGGGATATAAGCAAGGGAAATCAGTCCACAGATTCCAAGATCAGAAGTCATCACCATGATTCAGCTTGAATCTCTCATCCTTTTGACCTCTGCAAAAAGACTGAAGAATTTCTCATAAAATTCTGTTCCACGTGGTCTTTCTAAGCTGCCTGCTTTTGCCATACAAGGTAAAACTGCCATGCTTCTTGGTAGGCTTTTCCAATTTTTGTCTGACTTGTAAGAAGTTGGAATTTAATTTAAAAAAGTAATTTTTCAGTTATTAAATCTTGTTATGCCCTTTCAGAGGGTCAAAAAGCCCTTCATTCTCACACATGACACAATCAGGTGTTCTATCTTGTAACATTCTTGTTCTAGGGCATTTTCTCTTGTACTTTGGGCACTTAAAATTTTGATTTTGGAAATGCAGATTTCCCTGCAACATTTCCGCTACGTAAAATGGCAATTTTTTACAATTTTTTAAAACAAGAATTGCCCATTCATAATGTCACTGGACACAACAGTGGCAACAGTCTGCCCCACTATGCCAGCTGATGCCAAAACCAGAAGTAGTTGGAGCTTCGAAGTATAAAAAAAATACAGAAAACATGGCAAAAGGAAAATACTGTCATCTTATTTTTGTTTGGCCATAATGGGCTTAGTATCTTCTTGTGTTTAGGTCACACTGAAATCATAATGAAGGCATGATCTCTTACATGAATTACTCAGTTGTTTTGTTCATTAGCTTTCCTGGAAACATTTATTTCTTAGTTCTTGCTGGGTTTTTGTTTTGTTTATGTTTGGATTTTTTTTTAAAACTTTTTGGGATCATCTGATGGGATATGTGTGTTAGATTTTGAAGACATTGTATTCCTTGTTCCTGTGATTCTTTATCCTGAATTTCCTCTAAGGTGTGATTTGTTTGGGTTTTTTTTTTCTTTTCTGTTCAGGTAATTCTGAACTGTTCAGCCCTGCAGAGTTTACTGCACTTGCTAAGCAGCCCAAAAGAATCTATCAAAAAGGAAGCATGCTGGACAATATCTAATATAACAGCTGGAAACAGAGCCCAGATCCAGGTAAACTTTTCAGCGATGATCTTTAATCTTTGTAATCATTGTCTTGCAGGCTAGAAGAAACACACATCAGGCGTACACTGTTTTTTGTGTATGAAGTGCATATTTGTATGTATACACAGTAACATATAATTGCATATAAGCAGAAGTATATTAGAGGCTCTGTGCATAATTACAATATTTCAATTGCCCAGTCATCTCTCAAATTCAAATTATTTAATTTTTTAATCATCTACAGATGATAAGGGGGGAGATGGTCATGCTAGAGAATGACAAAATGAGGCTAAGCTCAAGAAAACCTTGTCTTAAATAATTTGCATTATGCCTTTGACAATCACTAAGATACAGAAATTCTCAAGTACGAAAAGAGTAAGCTACAAACTTTGAGAATCAAATAACTTTACGTGTTAATTGATTTTACCACCAGATTGGGACACCTACATTGTAAAACACTTTCTTTATTCCTGTTTATATTTTTTTTATAATTCCTGATAGTTGTGCTTAGCCAACTAAAATTGTTGTTTATTAAACTGAACAATAATGGAGGATATCTAACATGTTGCACTGGGATTCATCCTTTCTGATTATACCAAATTTTGTAATCCCTTCATGTTGAGTGATAGCACACAGAAACAAATTAAAGTCTCGTTCACTTATGTCAGTCTTTACAATTAGGCCTCCAAAAGACCACTTCCTTGTTCTGAATCTGGACTTAGTGTCAGCCATCAGGATGAATTCCCAGGGCTTGTTTCCAGATGGTATAAATGAGAGATTGACCATCGCTTCCCCAGAGAAAATTTTTTCTTTGACTAGATCATGAAAAAACTGCTAAATATATTTTGTTTTCCCTGGGTATGGAGTTTTTTCAGAACAGCTATACTAGGGGAACTTTTTGCTTGGCTTTCAAGGACAATGCCTCATTCCTTCAGAAGTGATGGAAAAACAGATTGTAGTGAAACTGGGCTTTATCTGATAAATATACAAGGTTCCCATCGATGCAGTTGAATGAAAGTCTCCTCATGTAAATAAAATTTAATTCTTCTGAAGTTACATTTCTCAATGCTCTTCTCCCTCACTGGATACAGAGAGTATTTTCAGAGATTGAAGAGGATGCGTGGAAGTCCAGTTGGACATGCCTGTTCTTTGAGGAATAGAAATAAATAGCAGAAATACTAAACATTAGAAATATTTGTCTCACTCATTAGTAACCAGGCAGAAACAATGCATGTTCACACAGAAAGTAAAGCAAGTCCCATAATACGTTGGCAAAAGTGGTCAAGAAGTACTTCTTTCCTCCATATCCTTTTCCTTGGAAGGCAGCCTGACACTTGCTAGTCTTATATCTGATGACTCTGGATTATTCATTCTATATGATCAAAATTAGCATGAAGTGGTTAACTGTCCTCACCCAAGGAATGGAATTACTTCTCTTTTTGCAGAAAACTTACAGGAGAGTGTAAAAAGGCTGCATGTTTTTCCTGAGGAAAAAGTGTATTATATCCTTTGCAGGTGACACTTTTGCAATCTTTTGGTTATATGTTCTCCCTTAGAAAGAACATTCAGCTGCTGAAGGGGCAGCTTAAAGCCTTAATATCTTGAATAGGGTCTTCATCTTCACCTCAGAAAGCATAGGAAATAAAGTTAATACTTTTGTGGAAGATAACTCAGTCTCTGCTAAGCTTCCTGGAATTAAAAGCGAATGCTCATCTAACTTCAGAGATGCTTATGTTAGGAAATAAGTAGGCAAGAAAAAGCTTATGAAAGTGGAAAGCTGTGTAGGTCCTTCTTGTCTGATGTAACTAAGATGGAAGTGGAACTGTGAGCAAAGAAACCTCCTGCAGGTGTATTTGCTCTGGCTTTTTCAGTCAAGATTTTACTTGATCATGTTTTTTATCAGATATAGAGAACGATATGGTTACTTAATCTAACCTTGATAGAGCTTCAAGAATTTTGATTCTGCCTTTATTGTGGCTTGTGTGTTAATCCATGGATTAGCTGAATTTCTAACAAAAAGTGCTGTGTAAAATCAGCAACTATACCACTGTTTTTTCCTGCATTGGCAATTACAATTAGCAGTGCAGAGAAGGTAGTTACTACTGCTTGTACTAAGGTAAAAATGTTTTTGCCCATGCTTTTCTTGCAGTGAAGAATCTTTTGGCTGCTTTATCCATGCTGCTGCCACCTTAGAAACAGGGAGGAGCAGTATTTTCTCTCTAGAAGGCCATTTCTGCTTTTCTGGGAAGAGTATTTTCTGGGGAACAATCCAGCCCAATACATTTTCTTAACTTTGTGTTTTTTCCCAAGTCTATCAGGGTTGCTTCAGGATTCACAATCATATAGGAATGTTGCAGACTTAAGAAAAAGTAGAGCTTGAGCAAATCAGATAGCCGTACAAGTCATTCCATAAAGAAATAAGTATCAGAAGTGGCAATAGAAAATAAAGTTTGTTATTAGAGCATTTTTGCAAAACTTCAGGATCTCTGTTTTCATATTCTTGATCTACTGAAGATACAGTTGTGAAGAGTCCTAGAGGTAACTTAAATTCTAGTACACCAGAAGCTATTTCATTAGTGTATTCACTTCTGTGACTTCTACACAAGTATTCAGTGTACCACATTGTCCTGTTCAAGTGAAGGAGTAAGTGCCTGTCCTTGTTTGCACAGTACTCTTACTGCTGGTATCCACTACTCAGACATGTAAAAGTAAGGCTTTAGGTGGAGAGTCTTAACTACACCCTTGGTAATCCTCTGTCTTCGAAACTGTTTTCAGATCTTTATTTGAGAACAAGTAAGGATAAAATAATCTCTCCTTTGTTAAAACAAAATTTGCCTAATCTAGCTAAACAAAATTGTTAGGTACATCTATGCATGTGTTTAGTAGTTTTTAAAGGTTTTGAGATGTCTTATCTTACCAGTCTAGATGAGCCCCTTTCTACTGAGAACAGATTAGAATTGCTTTGTGACTTGGAAAGGTGAGGCGGGAATGCAGAGAGAGGGAAATTAATGCTATCACCCATTAATATTGCACCTTCATTTCTAGCAGGTGATTCTTTAGAAGTACAAAACCACCCTTAACTCTGCATAGAAAAACAGTTATGGTTGTGGGGGTAGAAGCTTGCTTTCTCCGGATTCTTGCATCAGGAAGAAAACAGTGTCAACCAAATCGGCAAAATACAGTAGATTTAAAAGAATCCAGCTTACAGCAGCTGCCTTAAGATATGTCACAGACAAGGCTGGAAGCATGTTGATGCGCTACTCAAGTCCAGGGAGAAAAATGTGAGGAGCAGCTTCTCAAAAGTGAAAGCTGTAGTTCATTTAAGAATCCCTCAGGCCCCATTCAGAGTAACTGAGCTGCCTTTGAACTCCAAGCACGCACACACTATGTAGTGAAACACTGACTGCCCTAAGTGCGTACCCAATTTAAGCTATACTGGCAGTTATAAAAATAAGATTTAAAAAAATAGTGGTTCGGATTCTGAGCAGGAGATAACTGTCCTGGTAATTATGACATATTGCAAATCATGTCCATCATGAGACTTAGATTTTTGGAACTGCAGAAGGAAGACTGTTACAGGAAAGTTGTGAAGTAAAGGACATTGGAGAATGTTTACAACATGCTTGATTGGAGATCTCGAGGCCACTGTTTCTTGGAAGTAAGACTGGCAATTGCAGGTGCAATGATTTTCTCAGTCTCATCACAGATGTGTAACAAATTCCAGAAAGGCTCTAATTCTTTAGTTTCTAGTCTCAACCTAGAGAGTGTCATGTGAGAGACAAGGTGTGATGAAACTTCTTTTCAGCTCCAGAGCTGATAAATCTGTTTTTCTCAGAAAACTCCTTCTGTGAGGTATTACTTCAGACAACTCCTACTCAGTGTCAAAATCATTGTAAACATTTGAGCTGAATCTGAAGTTGGAAAATGCTGCTTGGTAATGTGTTTCTTGAAGATGGTCATATGCTAAAATGGAGAATAAAAGCCTAGTCTGTGAGGACAAAGGATAATTCCCATCTGGGAAGAATATCTGATTTAACTGAGTTCATGGATGAACCTATTTCATCTGTGAGTTGAGGTAATTTTTTTTTTCTCTAAATTAGTTTCACATTGTGGTGAATTAAAACATTACTGCTTGAGAATTGGTCTTCCTTACAGAAGGAATTCTAAAATACTAGATACAGCTCTAAACGAAAGAATTTATTTTCCTTTCTCCCCAGTCCCTCCAAATTGCTCAATAGTTCCTAGTAGAGACATACTAAGACACATAGACAGTAGCCTGATCTGTTTCAGTCTCTATGATATTAACTGGATTTTGAACATGCAGAATCTTTAGCCAGAAATCAGACAAAAATGATTTCAGCATATGGTAATTTTTTTCCTGAAAGTTAAATGTCTGCCTGGTATAGCAAACCATATTATTGCAACTTACCAGCTGATCTAACAAGTGGGTTTTTGCTCCAGAGCAGTCAGGATGTTAGAATACTATGGAAACTTTGGGTAGTGCTCAAGCCATAATCTAGCCATCCCTTCTGCACACCAAGAAGAAAATGAAATATTTTGGTAAATCTAATAGGTATTTTACCTAACCAATATTAACACACAGAGCTATATTTAGTGTTGTTTAAGATTGCATTGGGTTATACTCCCTCCACCCACCCACTCTAAAGTATAGAAATATAAAGTTAGAGGGAAGGACTTCTATATTCATTTCCACTTTCATACTGCCTACAATGCTGTTTGGTAGCACACTCCAAAGGCTTTCACTGCCATTTCTAAAAGATAAGACAGCAGCCTATCGCCATTAGATTTGCACTCAAACATAATCAAGTAAACTTTTTCTAGCGTTAAGGCAATATAAGTTAACATGCATGAAATGTGTGAAAGTAAGTGCTGAACTTTCTTTTGTAGCTCATATTAAAGCACAGGAGGTTTGGGTTTTTTCTCCCCACCAAAGGTGGAAGTGAAAGCCTTTCAGAGTGTGTTATCAACAGTGCCTAGGCAACAGAAAA